GACCTGTCAAAAGGAAATTCATTGAAATACACATACATGTACAAAGTTAAGGAATGATTTTTCCTCACTGCTACCATATTTTAATTCACACAGTCATAGATAATTATGGTATATCAAAAGTACAGTAAATACAATAAAAACAAGGTTTCAGTGGCAGACATTTTTGCTTGTTTATTCAATAACAAAATTAAATTTTGAATACGCTTTTTAGCCATTTTTCTTTTGCAGGGTTGGGTTTGGGAGCATGAGTGGCTATATTCTTACCATGTTGAAATTGGACCTCTACCCTGACGTACTGCTTCAGTAAGTCCTGTACCACACTCTTCATGTGACCTCGGATTCCATTCCGGTACCTAAAATTCAGAGATAACCCACATGTTAAACACTGAAGACATTTTCAAAGCACATATGGCGATATTTTGATATTAAACTAGCCTTTTTTTCTTCAGAACTTTTTATTAATACAGTGTACCATAATTCGAACATATTATTTTTCAGATACTATTTCCTTCTATTTTCTCTAAAATGTCATGTGGACTTCAGTACATGTGTTTAGGGCTGTAACTTATAATGAGTAATGATTGTTATGGAAGCACATTGAAAGGAGAAAGAGATGGGGAGGGGGGTGAAAAAAGCAATTGACAGACACAGACAAAACCACAAAATATGGAATGTAGTTCCTGGAATTACACACACAGACAAATACAGAACATTAAAGCTGTGGTAACAAAAGGAATAGAAGAAGGGGTTAATGCCAGAAGGTCTATGAAGAGTGCAAAACAGTTCCATACAAGTTTTCAAGATTATTTGTCTCAGAAAGGGCCCCTTCCTCCCATTAATCAATTACAATGTTTAGAAGTGCCAGGATTGAACAATTTTGCTAGGTAAAAACCCTAGAGACTGATACATTTAACAGCTATCTTGAGTGTAGCATGGTAATCTCTTTTGATATAAATGACGTATCAATATAAAGAAAGACTTTTCTTAAACTTTCAAATAACGATCACTCTCTTTTATGTTCAGAGGCATGCATAATGTATCTGAATATTTCATTCACAAAATAAAAGAAAATTAAGAAATGTGCATGTACAGGACTTAAAGTATGTTTGGTGATCTGTTTTATATCTTTAAGTTAAAGTATATCTGTTCAGATTAAGTGTGAAAAAAGTTAAATGGGTGACCAGAAATCTTAAAACCTTGTGATTCATCCTACTCACAACCCACTAGCATTACCCCTTAGATCCACTGTCAAAAGAAAATGTCACATGCGTTACACCAAAAACAATCATACACAAAATTCATTCCATTAAGCTTTGTGATAGAACTGTCACATGCAAAAGGAAGAGGCATTCATTTTATTTTGTTCAATTATGAATCTGATATGGTTGGATTGACATGCATGGTTGTCGAAGACAATATACTCTCTGATATGCTTTAGAAGAAATTTGGGACACTTGAGATTTCCAAAGGTCAGTAATACAGTACTATGACCTCTAACCTCTGAACTAGTTGAACTATGCCCTGTGTTGTCATGAAAAAGTTTTCTCTCTCTGTTCTTCTTGTAAGTGTGGCAGCATGGCTGTCTATCACATTTGCAATCTAAAATGAAAGCACAGAGCAAGCTTTAATTTTAGTGGCAAAATAAAACAGAAAGTAAAACTCTTTCCTATTTTAATTTGAATGTTAAAACACTTTATCCCTTATGTATACATGTTTGTGCATTTTAAATATCCACATGGCAGCATATCAACAACAATAGAATCAGTCACTGCTTTTCACCTGTTGACTGGGAACTGAGTCAGGAGGTGATATTACTGGAAAATGACTGAAGCTGTCACTGATTTTTACCTGTTGACTGGGGAACTGACTGAGTACAGAGGTGATGTTACTGGAGTATGACTGAAGCTGTTACTGATATTTACCTGTTGACTGGGGAACTGACTGAGTACAGAGGTGATATTACTGGAGTATGACTGAAGCTGTCACTGATTTTTACCTGTTGACTGGGGAACTGACTGAGTACAGAGGTGATGTTACTGGAGTATGACTGAAGCTGTTACTGATTTTTACCTGTTGACTGGGGAACTGACTGAGTACAGAGGTGATATTACTGGAGTATGACTGAAGCTGTCACTGATTTTTACCTGTTGACTGGGGAACTGACTAAGTACAGAGGTGATGTTACTGGAGTATGACTGAAGCTGTCACTGATTTTTACCTGTTGACTGGGGAACTGACTAAGTACAGAGGTGATGTTACTGGAGTATGACTGAAGCTGTTTTTTGATAGCTTTCTCGACTTGTGGGGGAATTCTCCCAGAAATCATGGCAACCAGATCCTGAAAAATAAAATTAAATGTTTTCACTCACAATTGCCAAAGATTGGAAGCTGAGATACACATAAATTCTCTAACAAAATCACTTTTAGTTTTGAAAATATATACAAAGTCCATGAACAAGCAATCATCAATGACCTGAAAATCAGATTTCAGGATAAACTGAGAATTTATCAGAAAAATTGTTATTTCTGACAAATTGTGAGGACAAAATCAAGCAAGAAATGTAAATTCAAATAATGATCCCCATATGTAAATCATACCTAGTTGCTATCATTATAATGATATTTAAAATGATATAAATTTTTCTAAATTGAATTTTGAATTGAATTAAATTTTCTGCAAGTCCTTTTTTTAAAATTCCCTAAACTGTAAACCAACTTTTATTCGCGACGACTTTATTTCTCGATTAAACGGGAATAAACTAGTTCACGACGATTAATTTTTGCGATTAAGCCTTTCTGGAACTGTTTTTAATAGAAAATGAGACTTTAAGGACCCTTTCGCGGAGAGAAATATTTGCAATCAGGAGGCTCTCGCGAACCTCACAAAAATTTCTTGCACGCGAATAAAAGTTGGTTTACAGTATTTACCTGCAGTTCCAGTAGGGGCAGTGATTCATTACGGGGGCATAAAAATATAATAATTCCAATATGAAAATCATATCTAGTTGCTATCATAATGATTATAATGATATTTAAATGATATAATTTTTCTAAATTGAATTTTAAATCAAACTAAATGTACTGGCAGTGCATTCTGTTAAAATTCCCTTTTTTACCTGCAGTTCCAGTAGGGGCAGTGACGGGTCCCTCAGACACTTCATCAGTCTCTCTATGGAGGTCTGTAGTTTAGGTTTGAAGTAAGGATCGGGCAGTGTGTACCCAGCCAGGATGTTCTCTAGCTCGGCCCGCGTACTTTGGAAGATCTGGTGAAGCTTCTCCCCGTGAGTGGGCGGGGCCTGGGGTTGGGGGAGGGTCCCTTTGAAGCTCTGGGCCTGCTGGACACGACTGGGGTCATCCAGGTCAAGGTGGGCCACGATACTGCCCCCCTCCAGCACGGCTCCCGGCCTCTTAACGTAATGAACACTAAAACACAGAGAAAGTTGTGCTAATTCTTAAAAGTTTAGGTTCTCCACACCTATTTAATTTACTTACTCATTGACAAATGTTTTTAATTTCAGGTTTATTATAAGCTTGATTTTAATTTGATACATATTCAACTTAATAGATTTTCAATCCTTATTTTGTATTATTCATTAATTACTTCTGATCATGAGCATTCTGCCAAAATATGGATGAAATATTTTGCTGACTTGGAGTAAAACAACAACAAAATCAATGACTCTGTAATAGCTTGTTTGCCATACCCGGTAATTAAAACAAGTAATTTGTCTACACATCCTTTACCATCCATTCTCTGTGACCCTGAGTTCCATGACCATCTTCATGACTTCTATCTCAGCATACACATCCCCGGCAAACACATGGCCTCCGACATCTATCAAGTAGTTCAACAGCTTACCAGCAGAGGGGGATCTTCATGGAAAACAGACAGAAAATTTACAAACTTTAAGATACATGCTGGAATAAAAAGACTACAGTAAAACTCGTTTACTCCATACACGGATATTGCGAATTCACGGATAGAGTGAAGTCATCTTGAATCCCCAGCTTTATAAATTTAATTTCTTATATGGTTATAAGGAATTACGGATATAGCGAAGTAATTTCATAGGTCCCAGCGACTTCGTTATACTACTTTTGCTGTATCTACTAAAGGGAAATTTTCACTCCAATTTTATTTGTGTCATCTTTGAATTTAACAAGAGTTATCTGTCTTTTAACGCATCTGTGTCTGGGGAGTTTAAAATTGAGCCAAAATAATTGGATGCAGCCACAAAAAAAAATACTTTGTATCAATTTAATCTTTTTTAAATTTATTATATTTGATATCATCTATTCTAAATATGCATTTCATAATCCCAGTTTCTGTGATGTTACATTTCTTAACAAAAGCACAATGTCTTGAAGTTTTTGATTTTGTACCAGAGTTTTCTCCCTTTAAACAGTTTCCTTTTATACCTGAGTTTAGTAGGTTTATTCTCCTTATGAAGTACACAGGTTTTGTTTCCTATAGTAATCCTGTAGCTGCTTACTTGGTCTTTCATGTAAGTAGTGAAGCTGGCTCCATCAAACGAGATCAATAGGCCTCCATCACTTAGTCTGTAAACAAAAGTCTTTCAATTCAACTTTTATTAGCGTAGGAGAAATTTTGGGGAAAGCTTTGTCCTTGGGAATACTTCTCATCATCAAGCCGTCCTTAAATAAAGTCTCTGTATCTACTATTAACAATCTAAAAAGACTTGATCGCAAAAAATAATCGTCCCAAACTAGTTTATCCCCTATAAATCGTGAAGTAAAGTCGTCATAAGTAAAAGTTGGTTGACAGTATTAATCTTACAATTTATATATACAGTTTCTATAACTTTATTTTTATAATTTCCCTAAATACAGGTACATTATCCTTGATACATGTATCATTAATGGTTGAAATTTCACACATTTGTCATTTGAATAATCAAACTGCTCTCTAAATCACCTGTGTGCCTCCACTTCCAGCATGGAGTCATTCATACAAATAAAGTAATTGTTTGGGCCCGTCTTCACACCCTACAAAAAAACACAACAAAAATTGTATTCATAGGCATTTAATACAAAAAATGTAAAAAAGCATTATTTTTCACACTTACTGAACAGTGTTAATAAACTTTATAAATTCTGAATTTATTTGATGTACAATTTTTTTCTATTGTACAGTATTAATATATGTAAAACCTAAAATGGTTGGTAAAAATTAATAAATGTATGGATAAATAAATCATTTCTATCTAAAGAAAGTGAACATTTTCCTTTGAACATAAATTAAATGATTGCAATTTATTTGAAATTTCTTTTGAAACAAAAATATCCTGATATTAGGCATTACCATAAATTGCCCTACCCCCTCCTTCAAACCTTCCCTATCCCCCTACCCCCCCCCCCCCCTACCAACTCACTCTCTGGCATCCTCTCGGTTCTCTCCCCAGGAGAAGCAGTGTCCAAACTGAGAGTCAGCATATTCATGAAGTCCCCCTGTGGCAGACACACTGAAGTACCCCCACACGTTCTTACTGCTGCGGAAATTCAACTCCTGGACAGTCCCAGAACTAGGCTTAAATCCCTACCAAAAGAGAATTTTAATACGCTATATGATTATTGTACTGTATAATATAATCATAATGAATTTAATGTTATTAAGTTCACGATAAGGGATTCTACAACGATGAAAAGGAATATTTATCCTGGTCATCAAACCAAAATATGGTCATATCATAAAGAAGGGAAACATTAAGTTTACTCCACAACGGTAAACAACTCTATTTCCTGATGAATGGATTGAGTTTTCCTTCTCATTTTGCTGCAAGAAATTTTGATATCTTTTTAAAGAATCTTACTTCGTCAGGGTTTTCGCTGGTGATCCTGGCTGCTATGACATGGCCCCGGGGTCGGGGGTGTATGGAGGAGTTAGAGAAATCAATAGGACTGTCCCCCCAAGTATCCACCTCATACAGCTGTCTGATGTCCTTCAACCGGTACAGGGGCAGACCCATAGCAATTAATCTGTAATACACAAAATATACACTTATAAATTACTGTGTTATGGAACTATATTTATGCTTCAATTGCAAATAATATTTTCTTTTTCATCAATGAGTGTCTGGATAAAAATTGCCAAAGTTCCACTTCTTAAATTCATGTGAACTATCAAATGAAAATTCTGAAACCTTACTGCACATCTACATGACACCACCTATTATCTCCAAAAAGATGAAAAGGTTACTGTGTAAAATGTAAGAGGAGTTCAGGGAAGAAAAGTGTGACAGACGGATAGATAGACAGACATGAGTAACAACAATATACTGCAAATCCCTACATATAGTTTGTGTCAATTGGATATATATGCATTGCAGCTATATAGTTTTGGTGCTTTTAGACATGGAAAATGTGAATATAAGGCATATTTTTCACGAAGCGTTAGCACGCTTCATGAAATTAGCCTAAGTGAAAAATTATTCCGTAAATTTATATATACATGGACTTATAACAATGGGTGACGTCATAGAAGTGTTTTAATGGAGCTGGCAAATGTTCGCTCTGCTGAACACCCCAGGTGTGTGTATTTAAATCTATATTTATCTCCATTTTATCCAGGAAGTAAATTACAAATCTCGTTCAAGTCTCAACTGAAGTCTAATTTTGACATTCTAACGTCTGTCAAGAAAGTCATCTGTAAGTCAATCATAAAGGCTGTAAGTACATGTACAATTAAGGTCATTTAATCTAATTTAAATCAATTTTTATAAGATAAGATAAGATTTATTAATACCAATTTGTATGAACATGATGAATGATGGAATAAAAACCAAGAAACAATTTATTGGACAGGTGTATTAGAATAGCAAATTGAACTCCTGGTTCCGGATAAAGGATGAGGTGACTTGCGGCCCCTCGTATATTGAAAAAAAATTAAATGTTAAAATTTTTCTCAAATTTTTGTATGTAACTTATCACTGATATTTGTACCTTTATAGAAAGCAATTTTTAACAAAAATAGAAACGTGATTTGAAAGATATAGACTTTTATTGGGGTAGGGGTATCATGTTTACATTCAATTCCCATTGCATTTTAACCCCGCCCCACTCTTTGAAGCCCTTAAAATATACGAGCGCAGCTAGGTACAATTTTCTCCTTTGGCTGGTCACTGTATTTTATTGAAATCTACCTACATGTGAAAGGAGAAAATTGTACCTAACTGCGCTCACATGTTAATTTTAAAAAAATGTAAAATCTGGTTAGCCTTTCCCATTATAAACAGATCGACGGAACTAGATTTTCTGACGTAAGAATGAATTCATATGCTAATCGAGGCACAGGCGATTCTTTCTAACTGACCAATCAGCTAAATGAAATTTGTTACGAGTGAATTCCACAAAAATACTATGGAAACATGCTTGGAAGTTTACTGCTTTCTGATATTTTTTATGCATTTGAGTCACAGATTAGACACGGATCTACATATGTACCATTTCCGAGACCACAGTAAAATTTATATACAGTTACGAACAATTGATAGAATATACATGATATGTATGCATTAGTTTAAAGTTTTGTAGCGTGTTTGGTGAGCAATTCGCTAGGTCTACACGTATTCCCGAGTATCGGTGAATACAAGTTTCATGTGCATTTCTAGTCCTAAAAACCGTAAATACTAAAAATCCATGTGTATTATTAAGCTTTAAGCTTTATAAAAGTTTGAAATGTAGAAAAGGACAACAGGTAAATTGACCAAAACCACGTGTCTGCGATAAAATGTAAACGTACTAAACCAGCATGTTTTGTTGTTCTGTCATCTGATTGGACACAGACTAAGTGCGAAATAATAACAATAGCCATATAAGGTCTTCTCGAACACGCATATTCCTCTTTTGTACCAAGACCCGCCCATTCTCTTGCCATAAAACAAAATATTTGCACAAACCTGGCCGAATATAGCTGTGATAGGGTCTTAAAAATCAAAGATAATGCAGTATTCCTTATAATTAAGATGTGTCTGAACTATTGAAACTATTCAAAAGGCGTCGTATTTATTCACTCATGTTTGAAAACTATCAACATCTTTGTAAATTAAACATAATTCGTCGTGGAAAAAGGGGCCCCAGATAGCAGTTATGTCACCTCATCCATGTCATCCTTTGATATTCGAAGCGCGTGCACCCTCGGCTATATTAGCAGAAGGAGTGGGTGCCGCTGAATATAGCACAGAGTTACGCATGGTATAAATAACATGGTTAGCCACAGTTTGCATATCATTGGTAATGTTAGCTTTATTGCGATCACCATCTGCAGCTGCTTGCTGACCCTGTACGGATAAAACATTGTCTACATAAATCCTTTTCAGAATGCTTTGACTTAGGTTCACATTAATGTTTATTCCATTGTCTGACAACTTTTTCTTCAGTTCGGCGACCGTCCGGTTACAGGGATTATCACTATTTGTCATGGTAGAGTTTGTTTGTTTCCTTGTTCGACGAACCGTAGACATAACTTTTAGGTCAAAAGTTAAAGTTCAATAAGTCACAAAACAACATGTGAAAACATAAAATCGTTTCACCAGGAAGACAGAACTGATGTCACACAAACTGAAAAATTATGCTTTAGCAATAATTCCCATAGTAAATGTAAGGATGGTGGTTGATGAAAAATATAACAAATTTCCACAATGGCTTCGAACGCAAAGATGATGAAACTGAAAACGAGAGTTATTGGAACTGAGTTATAAATAAACAACAGATGAGGCCCAGATAAGGCATATCTCAATACATGTAACACAGAATACCCATTGAGATGATTTAAATACATTAACGAAACAAGTTGCTGTCCTTTAAAAAAGGACTGCAATACGTGGACCATATGCGTGTTTTTTTCTAACTGAAATTCAAACTTCTACGTGTAGGGAATATGCATGTAAGGTTTGTTCACTTATTCTAAAATTATCTGCCACTTATAACTGATTGTAGTCTCAAAGCACAATTGTGAAATTTTATCTCCGAATACAGTGGATTAGCGACCTTTAGTTTTGTCAGTTTTAACATGTTATAAAAAATCGGTTTATTTTGACACGTGTAACTCATTTTGGCAAGTATGATGATTCACGAGTAGCACAGTTATGTAGTATGCAGATTTGTTTTTGTTTTTTTTGTCGGAACCCCCCTCCCCCCCAAACACACGCACACATTAAAAGCCGTTGCTACAGACCTTTATCAAGCAATATTTAGATTGCTGAAAGATTGAATTATTTTACCATCCTTGATGCACAAAACTTATGCCGCTGAAAACTTGCTCTACCTTTTAAAAGCTACATGTATCTCTGTTCGTTGAGTGACGTTTTTCATTCAAGTTGATAAGTCACATGTATCTAGATATACCGTACTCTTAAAATGTCTTTACCGCAGAATCAATGCTTAGTATAAAAGTATATGTAAAAGAGAGGAAATCGGATATGCCAATGAATAAGTAAATGCGATATGCAGATTGAAAAGCGCGATTTGCAAATGAATGGCATATTTTAATTCGAATAGGGCGAATTATTCTACGGGCAAGTTACCCAAGGCGAACTTTCTAGCATTTGCGCGCATGCGCAGCCTGTCGTTTGCCCAGGGCATCCGCTTGAGCTTCGCTTATATATTTACTGCGTGGACCGCATGGTCCACGCAATGAATATGATGACAATTACTTAATAAACTAAGATTATAAATCAAAGTACTGAAAGTACTGTTAGACGGAGGCTTCATGCATGAGAGATCACAAAAGAAATATATACATGTATGTCATACATTGCTGTAAAGAATATTATGAGAAATAATGTGTAGTTTTTTTTTCAATTCAATTTTTTTTTCAAAGGATACTCCAATATTCATGAGGTTTTGGGATATTATAATTTCATCTTTGTTTTGTAAACTTCGACTTGATTAAAGTTCACTGTTATTTAGATGAGATACTTTCAATATTAAACCTTTCAACGTAAGAAACAGTAATTGACTAGGCCTGGTTGACATAAAACTTAGACGGGCTACAGTCTCACTTAAGAAATATGTAGTGGAAAAGTGAGACTGAGATCAAAAGTGAGCTTGTCTAAGTTGTATGCCCCCACGCCCGGTTTGATGAATGTAGGTTTAGTATGTTCTAGTCATGAGCCCACAGGCGGAATTAAAAGGGGCCCCTGGCCCACTCCCTTTTGAGTCCAAAAAATACGCAATATTTGATAAATGAGTGTTTTAATTGTGGCTGTGGGCCCCTTCCCTGACCTCAAACTGGTCCCCCTATTTCAGAATTTCTGGATTCAGCACTAGGCCTCAGCCTGTCAGGAGTCTCCATATTTCAAGATATCTTATTTATAGGTCACAGAGACCTACTGTTAACATAAAATTATGACATGTAACAGCTACCAAAATCAAAATTTCTCGGCATTATTGTAATAATGTTATGATATGAGCTAACATGGAAAAAGAAGCAGCCAGGTAATTGGACATGAACAACATAATATAGTACAGTTTGTCTTAAACCTTTGGGATACAAAATGGGGTGACCTAGCATGAAAACAACACAGAATTTTATTTAAGTAATACAACTTCATTAACATGCAATAAATGTTCGTGCCAGAACACAATTTTTTGAGTGGAATAAAATATATTTTCTTACTTTATGTAAACAGAACAATCAAGTTCATAACACTTGCTATTTCACAAGTTTAAATTGTTTTTGGAGAACTGGAGTATTGCTTACAATAACAAAGATATATCTTGACAAATTTGACAAGCAATATTTCTGGAATTATTAAATGTAGTATTTTATCATATGACAGATTAACCCAAAAAATGTCTTTATTTACTCGTATACCAGTGGAAATGGTTGTCCTTTTCAGTTTATCTGTCTAAACAATCATTAACAATGAGACATGATTACAAATTACGTAGAGAAAAGTTATAAATATATAACTGTGATTTCTGCTTTTTAGTAACTCTGTTAAAACAATCACTTTACCAATGATGTAATTTAAAAAAAATTGACATGAATACCAATGATCAGAAATACATGTAATCTTGTATATAAAAAATAATTAAAGTTTGGGATGTGAAAGAGGTAAAACACAAGTATGAAATGCAAATAAGGATCAACGATATGACAATAAGACAACTTATTTCAGAAGATATGATTTTTAATAATTAATTAGGATATTATGTGATAAATCATGTAAATCCTATGAACCAAGATTTGGGTTTTACCAAAGGGTTAAACGTTACATATGCATTTTGATCTCAATATCAGAGTTGCCGTTTGTTGCTCTCTTAACTAATGTGAGGGTACCCCAAACACTCAAACCGCTTGTAGAAAGTGTAAATCTATTTTCATGTGTTTCCTGAAATTATATATAATATCAAATAAACAATTCAAAGCTAGGCTGTTAATATTCCTACATATAAAAATACTATGCATTTGTTTATTCATCGATCCTTGTCAGATTAAAAAAATCCATGAAACCTATTGATGCAAGCGTCAAAAATCGGCCGCAAACAAATTTATCGGTCCTTTCAAAAAGAAATTAGAAAAGGAATGAAAATGAGATAAAAAACAACAATCAAGCACAAAAAATTCCATTAAAACTGAAATGCTTGATCTATTATTAAAATATCTTATATTTATACCTGCGACATAAAACATTTGCATGCTCCATAGCAATATTTTCTTCAATACATAATACAGGTACATCTGCGTCTCCACACTTAGTTTGATACACAGGCGAATTCCGGTGGAAGTTTTTACAATTAAATATAAAACTAAAGTTTAAACTTATCTGTAACTGGAGATAGTTTTTACTTTAATAAAAGAAGCAATTGATAAGTGGGGTTCCTCGATCACTCTCCGCGGATGTTAACCCCCCCACCCCCCCCAACTCCCTCTAGATCCGCCACTTCATTTCTTCTCGTTCTTGTTTTTGGTGCGAGAACCGGCAGGAAAAGGCTCAGCATATTGTAAAACATGCTTTATCATCGTCTGTTGGAACAAAATCTCCTAATATTCTGTCTGATAAAAAATTAATAGTAAATCACATTTTTTTTTTTACATATTCTGTAGGAAATGTATTTATATACACGTCATTTTAAAAAATATTAAAAAGTCCAGTTTATTTAGAAAAAGTAGAATTGTTTGTTTATACTTGTATGTGACGCGATCTTTGTTTTAGACTATGCCTATCCTTGCGGTCAATGTAACGCAGAGTCGCTTTAAAAATAGAATACTCAAGGTAATGAAAACAATTCCACCGATAGATGGTGCTTGGGAAATCTTTCCTGTTTACATTTCATGGGCAAGACAATCCCTATACACGGAGGCTGTCATACAGCCTCCGTCTAAAAATAATCTTTCAAAAATTGTGCTTTACCAAGGAAAAAGTCAATATAATTCAATAATTTACATAATTCACATGGGCCTATAAGTACATGTATTTCATATTCGTAATTCATTACCAGTCTGAAATTAAACAACAGAATTCAATTAATGATGTAAATTAGGTTTAAACAAGGGGGGGGGTATAAATTTTTGGCCCATAATTGGAACTTTTTAAATCTATGTTCTCATATAGATCAACAACAAATATTATTCAAATTAGTGTAAAGCGTTTTTGATGATAAACATTTTTTTATACTTGATTAAGCAGAATCACCTTGAAAGCAGCCATATACCATGTATACCCAATCAATTTAGTCAACCCCCACCCCTCTCCCAACAACACACTCACAAACAAACACACCCTATTTTCCTGTTTTTCGAAATAGGCCTAGATGGCAAAGTTTAGATAAAATATCTTTTGTAAATATAATTTTAAAGAACTGGGTATATATAACGTGGCGGCCCTGTAAAATCGGCAAAAATTAAACGCACGATGACATTTTTTGAATTGTGTCAATTTATTGTTAAAGTTCCCCATTGTGAAAAATTGGTCTCTGATATTCCTCAACTCATGTGACCTTTCAAACTCCATACAGTGTAGATTCTCCGGGACTACTTTCCCTACGAATAACGCCACTGCCACAGGCTTTCCAAACGTTTTCCAAAATTTGGAAAATTGGCTTGCGCGAGTAATTCGGTTTTCAAAAAATCAAACTGAATGTTGTATACTCCCTTCCTATGATATCGCGGGTTCTATGGTATCGCGGTATTTCTGTTTATGAGCTGGCACGCGCTGAAAACGGCACGTGATAGCCCGATATTTTTAGACATTGTAAACATAGCCATGTTGAATTCCCTGACAATTTTTTCAGCAGAATTTCGCATCCTTAGATTTGTTAACTTCATTTCTGTAATATTTTCGCACTTTGGTCGACATTGATAAATTTTACGGGGGGAGTTGGTGAAGAGAAAAAGAGTTTTTATAACTTACATTTTAAATAAACATGTACATGTAGTTAAATAACTCAATAGGATACAGGGTGCAGTGTGGTTTTAAAAATGGTAGGTTGATCAACCTATGAAAAAAATATTCGTATCTATAGATTACCTGAAATTTTTTGAAATAGTAAAAAAAAAATCTCTGAACCTGTAAATCCTATTATGTAAAGATTTCGTAAAGAAGAAGGGTTTCATTTTGTTATCACAACCAGATTTCTTTATATATTACAAATAAGCCTTTCATTGAACATTTTTCTTTAATAAGAACATTATACACTGTAGAAATTTGGGTATTTTTTTTTCTCTCTTATTTTGCAAATCAAAAGGGGGGAGGGAGTGCAGCAGGAACCAGTCCAAGCGCCCCCTAATAAAAACGTCCCTGTCAAAGTGTCCCCTGATTTTAGTCAAAGTGCCCCTAACATATTTTTTATAGAAAAATACTGCCACCAAATATTACTTTAAGATTATTTAAATTTCCTTGATCCCAGTCTTAGATGACATACATACACTTAAACTGTAAAGTACTGGGGTACTAAGCACATGGTCAGTACTATAGTAAGTAATTTGATTGATTAATTATCATGCCTGGAGTGATGAAAGTATTCCAAAAAGTCTGTCAAATTCTTAAAAACATAATTGTTTCACACTCATGATGGTTTGTGTCAGTGTCCCTTGTGCAAAAAATATAATTGCTTTAATAAATTCTCAAATAATTTTATAATATTTTAGATGTTAATGACTAAAATGATTGATCATTATCGAAATAAAATATCTCTTACAGACATGATGAAAAAAGGCTATAATTAATCTTCATAGGATATATCATAGGATATGGAGATAACGAACAATTTTCAATCTCAAAGTCCATAAAACAATACAAAATAGGAGCAAAGCAAACAGAGACCTCCGAAACATTAAAGGTGGGATCAGGTGCCATGGAGGTGTGAGCATCCCCTGCTGACCGGTCACACCCACTGTAAGCTCCCAGTGTCATAATAGTGAAATAATGGAAAAAATCCATTGTCAATTCAGTGTATAAATAATGGACTAACAATTTGTATGAAAAATGTCAGTCAGCATTTTAAGATTTACATATTGTAAATCAATTGTATATCAATATGATTTACAATGTGTTTATCAACTTTCAGTTACTTTTCTTGGCTGTACAGCATTTTAAGTCACAAAGTACATCATGTAGTATTATTTGATAATAAGGACTTTCAAGTAGGCATAATTCTGCTTCAGGCATAATTTTAGTTTTTAGGTGTCATTTATTTTTCCAGGGGTAGCTTCATTGCATTTTTTCGCCTCAAATCCCTGCTTGACACAGTGGTTTGAGTGTCTGCTCTAGAGTCGGGAAGTAAGGAGTCAATCCTTACTTCACATGTTCAAATCCCACTGTGGGATTTGGAGACAGTCCTTCGGATGAGACTTTATAAACTGAGGTCAGTGTATGTCAAGTGTACAACAAAACTATATGCATCATATCTATCATGTTTGTTTTAGAGGGAGCTAGTATCAAAACCCCCACCTCCCCACCTGAATCTGTGTACCTGTTTTATAATTTTTGTGATAAATAAATGTATGTGTTTGCATGTAGTTATCATCATGAACATTCAATAAACAGTGATAAATAAAGGAAAAATAATCTTTTGCAAAGCACTTAAAAGCACAATATTATGGCCAACTGATTACTAATTTAACATGTTCAAATCCTATTTATATACACGTACAATTTAATTTTGCAAAATTTGTTTTGTAAACTTTGCTTATATTAGGTATTTAAAGTCATTGCCTTATACTGGAGGGACAAGCTCACTTAGAGACAAATTTTAAAGATTTAACCTTTGAAAATGATGAATAACATCTACACAAAATAAATTTACTTTTTGCATCTAACATTTGAATTTTCATATGCAAATTTATATATAATGTTGTACAACTTTTGCCTTCATGTTGATTAACTTTTAACACTGAGCCTTAACTTTCAGGTCTCTTATATCAACATTCTGAGTCCGCCAGTCGCCCATGAAACACAGTGGTTGTATAGAGATTTGGACAATTTATCATCTACAGGATGAAGTCAGGATCACAAACAAATAAGAAAATCTATTCAAGAACTTCAAGAAACTGTCCACTGAGACATAAAAACATGTACATAGGCTATTTCAAAATACAGACAAAGCAGGATTTGTCAAAGTTGTAAGACCCTAGGGCCAGAGGCTCAAGGGATTTTCTGATCAAAATTTGTCTGTTGTATATTCATGTACTTATTGTGAGTATTGTTGTCCTTGTTGTCATCTTTGTATATAAACATTCACATTCTCCACTGGGCCACTTTCATCCAATTTGGCACAAAGTATTCTTAAACAAGGGAATAAACATGATAAAGGTTATAAGAAAAAAGGTTTAAAGAAAATGCAATGCCTCTTCCTAAGGATAGTCCAGACATGAATGCTGTCTTGACATGTAAACATGTAGCATATATAGATTTAATTGTTATCATTGCCCTGGAGGATTGGGTACAAAGCCCCGAAAGGTAGTGCGACAAAAGAGATAAAGATTTTAGCTCATCTGAGGAAAAAAACTCAAGTGAGTTTGTCTTATCACCTGTTGTCTGGCCCAGAAAAACTGAAATTTATGTGGAAGCATCCTAGGATAGTGTATATTGTAAATTGTTCAAATCTTGAGCCCCGGGGTAGGACTGTGCCACAATATTGAATCAAAATTTTACATAGAAATATGTAGGAAAAAAACTTTAAAAATCTTCTTCTCAATTAAGAACCACAGGGCCAGAAAAGCTGAAACTTATATGAAAGCATCCTACATTGTCCTAGGGTAGTGTAGATTTTAAATTGTTCAAATCATGACCTCTCGGGATAGGGCGAGGCCACAATAGGGAGCACAAGTTTTGAATTGTAAGATATTGGAAAATACTCTTCAAAAATCTTCTTCACAGTAACTACTGGGCCAGAAAAGCTGAAACTTTTGTGGAAGCATCCATGGTTAGTGTAGATTTTAAATTTTCCAAATTATGAACCATGTGGTAGGGTTGGGTCACAATATGTATTACTGTACAGTGGGGGAATGACTGGTAAAGAACAGCATGGTCAAAGCTACTCAGGTGAGCGATTTGGCCCATGGGCCACTTGTTTAGTACAGTTAAGTGTACACATGTATATTGAGTATATTCAATGTTTTGTAGTTGAATATGGAAATTATTTCATGTTAGGGAAAGGATATTTTGTCTCATTAGTGAAATAAATTCCATATTATTCAAATATGAGACATTGAATTTTCTGTTTATTACATTTTCTTTGATTTTCCCTTTGTCTACCTCTTTTTTGTAATGTAGTCATACGCTACATGATGTCATAGTTGAGCGGTCTATACGTCAGCTTAAACTAAAGTGAAAAACATTGTAAACATAAATTTCAGCAATTAGCATATTTGGGGAATGTTCGCGGTCTTTATCTCTGTCAGAATGGTTTATGAACTTGTTCTCAATCTTATAACAGGCCAAGGAATATTTTTTACAACATTCCTAATTCCTCAATCTTATAACAGGCCAAGGAATATTTTTTACATCATTTCTTGTAATGGTAAAGAAAATCTGGAGTTTTCTCGCACTTCTGGTATTTGTCACACTGTGAAAGAACATCATTTTATTTAATGAATAAATTACAGTATTTCACTGTTTAAAATGTAATAAATTGGTGTATCTAATGTACATCTCAAAATTCTCAAAACACAAATGAATTTTTTAGCTGTTACATTAGTGCTTTCTGTTACTTCATGGCTTTTTAATTTAGACAAATAAAAATTCAGTACTGAAGACAATATTCTGTATTCATTGATAAATTTATTATACATGACCTTCTTAACTTCCTTGACATCAAAGAATGGAAACTAACATTATAATACACACTATTTCAAATGCCTTAATATTTCACTCTATTTTATAGGTGTTTTTGACAAAGAAGGTTTAAAACCTTTGTGGACATGGATTTTGAAACTTCTTAAAACTCTGGAAGGATGAGGAAAAGGAACGTGGCATTGAAATGGAACATGTTGGACAGGGTTATCACGGTTATGTTGATTTTGAACATGCATGCAAAAATTTGGTATGATATTGCATATTTACAGTGTATATTAAGAAAAGTTCAACACATGCATTCATTATCTGACATGTATTTAATGTATGCCCTTTGTCCACAAAGAAATTTTTAAATCTTTTTATGAGGCTGATTGTATGAAATGATAGATAAATTGGGCCAGAATGCTTCACTTTTTTCTTATTTATTTAATTCGAAAATGAACATATGAAAATGTACATGTCACATTGGGGAAGATTTTCAGTATTTTTAAATTGGATGTTGGAATTTGTATCTTAAATGGGAAGATGGCTTTTCAAAGAACATTTAGGTTTTGATTGAGATCAGGCTGTAAGTGCTGGGCATAGGCCTAAATTTGCAGCCCTTCACCGGCATTGATGACGTCTCCATATCAGTGAAATATTCTGGAGAGGGACATTAAACAGTATACAATCGATCAATCAATCACCCCTATATACTGATTTGACACTGGCTGCATATAGTTTTTACACAGAAATATAATCTGACTTAATATTGTGACTTCTTTTTTGAATGACCCTCACCTAGGGATTAGTCACACTTTTCCTGTGTAGAATGTTTAACATGTTAAAAGAAAATATGGTTGTATTTTACTTTCAATTGACATGTCTCAGAGAAGCATCATGGTCCATATAGGCTTTTAGTCAATTATAAATCTGAGTACATTTTACACAGTTTATTGTGTGATTATATTAAAAGTTATTAAATTTTATGCAAACAACAACAGACTGATGTGATATGCTGGAAATTCCTTATTAAAAGCAAGGAATTTATTATTGCAATTTTGCATGTAGCATCACTTGCAAAATAAAATGTTTCACTTTCATTTTTATGGTACTGAAACCCATGCACATTTTCCTTATCAACTGACCATTCACAAATATATATTCCTGCGATTTAATGTTTTTAAGAGCTATTCTGCAATAAAAAGTACTCACAAAAAATAAGGAATCTGCATTATGTACATGTATAATCTTTGTATTGATGTTTGATTTTTTTTTTCAAATCCAGATCATGCATTTATAAAAGATGACAGCATATCAGCACTGCCTTAAGATTGGAGTTGAGACCTTGTATTTTTCACACAGAAAATAAAGAACAGTTGCTGAATGAAACAGATACTCACAGAAGCAAATGTAATGAGCCCAAAATAATGGTGATCAATTTTGAATGACTTTATTCTCTGGTTGAAATGTTATTGAAATGATACATACTGATCCAATTTTAGAAGTGGTTGACAATGAATACTAAGTAATTTGTTGTACATAAGTATAATGGCTTATTTTAAAACTGTATAAAGTTTGCAATTTTTATATCAAATGTAATGATATTGTGTAGGAATCAATTTTTTTAAGGATAAAAGATGTATTTTTTTTTCAATCAGAATTTCATAAAAAGACTTTCTAATGTAAATACATATATGGATAATAGAAGATTATAATATTTTCTTTTACTGTCATTGAAATACTGTAATAATGAACTGCAATTTTACACAAAAATGTTTTAACTTGAAAGTTTCAAATTTCAAGGTTTTATGAAGTTTGAATTGTGGTTCATATTGCTTTTTATTGAACTATCTCCCTTAACCTTAGATTTGTTGTGCATTCTATGTAATAAATTTAATTTTGGAACATATGGGGAAGGTCTTGTTTTGAACTCTATTGATTTTAATTCAAGCATAGTAAATGTGTTTAATAATATATGTACCACTCTGATTAAAACCAGATCCTTGATTTGCTCCTTTGTTTTTTTATTGTCTCTACCTAGTGTAACGACAATTAAAAAACAAAAGAGCGGATCGAGGATCTGATTTTAATCACATTGATATATATACATGTATGTCTGTGAAAATAATTGATCTTCCCACAGAGTTATTTCCCTTGTTCACAATGTAAAAAAAAAAAAAAACTATGAATGATATATGCACGACTGTTTTACAAAAAGCAAAGAGATAAATTTATTTTATATGTTTTATTTCTAGAATCTGCTTTTCTTACAAGTATTAATGATGTTGAAATAAACTGTGCTAATATTAAAAAATATTTTTATATCATTGGAGCTGTGGCCAGAAGTGTTTGGCTAATACAGCTAGGGGTTTAAAATATTTCAGAGTGAGATTAAAATACAGAAATATATTTTATATGGTAAAACATATATTTAGAAAAAATCTTGTTGGTTCTTTTTTCAAGTATGATCTCAGTTAAAAGGAACTGGATCCAGTTGTATCAATATTTAAACTGTTGATACACTGCGTCCTGGGTGTAAAAAGAGCTTACATGTACATGTATATTTTCTGGATATTTATTTAAATGCTTTTTGGTCTATGAAAAAGGTACAATGTGAAGAAATGTGAAGATTTTTATCCAAACTTGACTTTTATCCAAACTTAACATTGGGGACAGGGATAATATACATGTACTAAGTATGTGTAAGAACATGATTAAATGACACCTACATGTAACTGTCAGCTACATTTAAAAGGGTTATGTTTTGAAGTATGCTAATTCATTCTAGGTATGACTAGGAAATTAGATTTGTGTGTGTGTGTTTTCATACATGTTCCCCCCCCCCATCCATGCCTTCAATAAACATATCCTAAGTGTTCTGGAAAATTTATTAAACCCTAGAGATAGGGTTTAAAATAAAGAAATATGAAAATGGGAGAAAAAATATTGAGAAGCAGGATGGATGGATCTCATCCCTCCTTTCCAAATAAAATGAAGTTGGAAAAAAGAGAAGAATTTGTGTTTGTTTCAAAGGGGGGGGGGGGGGTAATTTCCTGCATGTGTAACCAACTTGACATGTTTAGGGATCCAGGTTCTGAGTTTCTGAGTCATTTAGATTGCATGTAATTCATGATCAGTACTCATAAAAAAATATTTTTGTATCATTGAACATTAATTTGATATATACTTATAGCACTAGCTCTGAAATCCAAATAATTCCAAGCACCCCCCCCCCCGGGCCACTTCCATGCCCGAATGGATTTATTGGATAATGGAGCCCTAAGTATTAAATGTTCCTGAACCATGATGACGAAAATATTGTTTACATTTGATGTGTATCTTTACAGTGTAACTGTATAAAGGAATTGCTCGTAACTGGTTTGTCAAGATCTGAGTTGTATAAAGAAAACAGACTATAGGTGTGAGCACTCTCCTTTACTGCGAACCTAATGACCTTTTACTAGTTCAAGAGGAACCACGTGATGTAAATTTAAATAACAATAACATTAGTAGGGGTGACAAAGTTCAGTCGGAACATGCTATAGTTTGGTGTTTACTATGAAAACGAGGCTTCAAAGATCACGTGTTTTCCCTTTATGGAAGTGGAAAAAAAATTAAAAAGTATGGAAAACAGTTTTTGTAAAAAATTTAGCAAAAATTTCGCTGGTTAAAAAAAAATTAAAGTTTGAGCTGAAACATTACGAATTATTTATCAAACATAGCTTTTTTTATCAAAATATTTTTCACTAGAGAAACAAATATGTTAAAGAATTAAAAATTCAAAGTTAAACCAATAAAAATGAAAAAAAAAAAAAATCAGCAGGGTTTTTTAAATTCAGCAAAAATATCAAACCGATAGTTACTTGTTAAATATTTACAATTTGTTACTTTTAATTTTTTTTATTTTCTATTTAAATACTTGTTTCAATTTTCTCTTTATTGCATTTTTTATATTAAAAAAAAATTATTGTTCATTGTATCAAAATTTGCCTACTTCTACTACTTTTCATATCCTAATTTTTTATTGTAAAAAGAAAGATATTATTATAAAGACTTCAATATAGTTTTGCATGTCTGGAGAGAACATGTGATGTTTGTAAATGAAGAATGTCTGTCTAAAAAGCAACTATAATCTATTTTGTTCTTAAATACCCTATAAAAGTCAAAACAAGGGATAAAATCCTATTAGTAAGAAAATAAATTATTCTCCACTTCAATGTACAAGTGGGTGGAAGGGGAAGTACAGTACTTTTAATTGCCCCCCCCCATTCTTAAATCTACATATACTTCAATGGTTGATAATCTTTTATTTCACTTTTAAGTACAATATCATAAAAGTTTAATTACAACAAAGTCATTAAATTAAAGGCATATCATAGTTAAAGTGCACTTTTATTTTTTTTTTCAAATATGACACTGCTAGGCCGCCATAGTCTAGTGTCAACCGGATACCGCGATACCATAGAACTCTTTCGCGTAGTAAGGTAAACAGTGGTACTTCTTTTCGATAGCTCCTAGTAAATAAACAACAAGATGAAAATTCAACATCAGAACAAGAAATGTAGATAAATAATAGAAGAAACTGAAAATGATATTACTTTCTTGAAATATCCCAGGTATGGTAGATATTTTTACAAATTAATTTAACTACCGCGATACCATAGGACCCCAGCGTATATAAGTTTATGGATTAAAATAAAGGAAAATAAAAATCGTTCTATTTATTTTTTAGAGCGGCAAGTAACGGTTTATTGTTTTCAATCCGATTAAATCCAGATTATTTTTTCAAGCGTAGTTTACACCAAGTTGCAATCGCGGCTTCCATGCGTCATTGGAAACGGAAAGAAGTTTCGTGTCTTATGCATGTTATGGCTGTAATTCAACACATTGTGAATGAATTTGATAGAAATACGAGACTGTGGATGCAAGCGACATTGTATATTTCATGGTTGTGCGAATGGCATCAATAATGATGAGAATATTCGAGAAAACAAACTTAAGAGCTTCGAGACTGATCGAGCTGCTCAATGAAAGCTAAAAATTCTGTGATGGCAGTGCTGAGGAAATATTGATGTGACAAAAGGTAAAGTTTGAATACTGTATAAGACGAGTCAATGAAGCATTATTAGTTTTCAACTTTGAAATGGACTGAAAACAATTCACCTAAAACAAACTTTTAAAAATGTTATATAGCAATATAAGCATGTACTAGGTAAATAAAGCTATATAGGTAATAAAATCAAGCTATATAGCTAAATATAGTGATTTTCCTGGACCTGTTTAATTATAGCATAGACCATGTAGACCAGAAGATTAAAATTAAAAAATTTGTGCTGCCCCCTTTTATATTGAGTTAAATTGATTGTATTGTATTTCTTTTAATTACAATAAGCCCTTACTATTTTTTTTAATTACTTGAAACATTGAGGTTTTTAGAACAATAATCAGGCATTGAGCAATTTTAAAAGGTTGTGTGTGAGGTAGGAGGGCATAGCAAGTAAAAATAAAAAAAATACCCAAAACTTTGACAAGCATAAGTTTGATTGGAGACAGACAATGTACATGTATTTTCAACAGAAAAAATGAATACAATATCTTAATCATGTAGTGATTCTGTTACTGCAAGGGAAAGTGCACGGAGGTGGTGACTGTATTTTAAAACTAAGAAGTAAAGAGTAGACCCTTTCAAGGTTATTAGCCGCCATCTTGGATTGGGGGCATCACGCGACATCGTAGCTAGCGTAAACAATGGCAGCTGATGCAGAAGCACCGCATCAATTTTCGTCTAGCGATCGCTTCACAGTCATTGTCATTTGAAACTGAATGTATACGTATTGTAACAACATATTTTATTCTAAAAAAAGAACATTTTCTTTAATAATAAGTGTTTATTTACCTTAAATGAACTTCAATATTACAACATGCATCATATTAAACGTGCGGAGAAATAGAGTGTTTATGTTACGCTACTATCTATCATCTCTTACAATTTAAGCATAAAATATTTGTGAAAATCAAAACAAAAGAAGGTTTAAGCATAAAAACACTCATTTACATTTTATTTTTTACTTTGATGATTTTTTTAAAAATTAGGCCTAATTTCTTTTATATCTATACCACTAACGCGGGCGGATCCAACTGAGAATATTGAGAAGTATTGAATGAATAAAAGCTCATAAAACATCTGTAAATAGACCAATATATTTAAAAAAATAATATTTATTTTAATATAATGTTTTAGATATTTTATTGAGACAACTTTAAATATATGTTTTAATTAATTAAATATTTACTATGTGTAATATTATAGAATGATTTAAAAATATGTTGCATACTCGTGTATATCAATATAAAAATTGCAACTTCAAAGAAGGATATGGAAATAACGAACAGTATTCAATCTCAACGTCCATTAAACAAATATACAAAATAAGAGCAGAGCAAACACGGACCTCCGAAACATCAGAGGTGGGATCAGGTGCCATGGAGGAGTGAGCATCCCCTGCCGACCGGTCACATCCGCCGTGTGCTCGTTGTCATAATCAGGAAATAACGGAAAAAAATCCGTGGTCAATTCAGTGTATAAATAATGGACTAACAATTGGTATGAAAAACGTCAGTCAGCATATCATTCAATGATAAATTGTATTTGCTGACAAGGTCATTGTATCGACCATAGAATTTACGAAATGATGACTTTAAACGAGACTGTTGATATTCTTGTTTCATCAACTTGCTTGTCAATAATTTACCTCGTTTAAGAAATTGTTCATACGTAGAGCATGCTCTTGCGTATCGAATCAACTGAGATATAAATACTCCGTATGCAGGTGATGAAGGTATATTGCCGCATAAGTAAGGGAAGTTGACGATAGAAAAGTTAAAGTCATCACGTTTATCATATAGCTTGGTTGTTAGATTACCAT